TCATATCCACTTCGCCTGGGGTTGTCAGTAGATTGCAAGATATGACCATTAGCACAGAATGCGCTTCATTAACCAGTACTACCAGTGCCCCCGATTCCGGGATACCTGGGCAAGGCGGGAATCACACAACAGCTCCTCTTGGCCAAACCCAGGACTCGACGGCCACATCGGGTCAAGGTGAAAATTCTCTGACACCGTCCGTAGTTTCAACTCTTTCCACCAACGATCATGCACAGCCAGGTTCGACCTATGACACCACTCCCTCACCACGTTTCATTACATCATCCCCAGGTACTACTATCTCCATGCCGGCTTTATCACTCAGTGTCACAGTTATTGTTGCCGTGGGAGGCGCTGTTGGTGTCATCATCCTGATTCTTTTCATCATCATAGCGTGTCTTGTCGCATCAAGACGAAAAACGGAGAGGCGCGGACACAGGGAGGAGTCGGAACTCATCTACGAGAGCCCAATAGCTGCCACCGACCATCCCTTGAACCATGCGGGGGACCGCTACGTCAACGTCCCGCTGGAGACCATCGTGCACAGCGGTCCGGCAGCCACACCTCACCACCACCACGTTCCACCATCAGGAGCAGGTGGGTTACCGTCAGAGTACGCCCAGGCTACTCCCCGCAGCCACAGAAAGCCATCTTTTGAGTACACTGTACCCAATCAAGACAATCTGCCATCACAGGAAGACGTGCCTCCACCCGAGTACGCTGAGGTTACTCCACGCATTCATCGGCAACAGCCACAACATGACTACTCCGTAGCCAATCCGGACAATCCACCATCACAGGCAGGCATGCTTCCACCTGAGTATGCCGAGGTTACACCGCGCAGTCAGCGGCGTCAGCCACCCCCAGAGTACGCCATGCTCGACCCAGACAATCCACCACTGAAGATGGAAGATGATGGATACTCATATGCCGCCGTGCAGGAGGAAAAATGCAGAGCTTCGCCTGACGGAGAGGAAAAAGCCGAACAAGAATGGTCAGGTGAAAGACCACTTGATGGCAAAGGTTTGCCAAATTTACATTTGTGCATATGAAATATTTTATTTATTCCTGCAAATTATTTCAGCTTGGCAGAAAAAGCTCAAACATCGAGTACATTTCTTCAGCAATCCTTGCAGGTGCTACAACACTTCGAATGTATACGTGTTGATATTTCTGCCATCAAACTTTTTTCCGGTTAGGAATTCTTTTTCATGACAGTGAAGCCTGAATCACTGTTTGACTTTAAGTGGGCCTTTTTTCTTTTCAATCTCTTTAAACTTGAATATTCATTTTTCCCACGACCTGTGGGATTGATTGCAATAGACCAACCACTCAAAATCCACCCCAGGACGCTAAAACCAGTCACAGTCATGCTTGTACAGTTATTACTATCCGTCCAGGATTACACGGACATACGGAATTATCAGAATTTTTTTCTGAGGGGTCAAATATTTTTCGTGCGAGGTTTACTGTATTTGTTGCCATTGTTGAGGCCATTATGCAAGCAAATATGACCCCTATACACGTGCGCCTCTACAAATTAATGCAAAAAGGGGCACCGAAATCGATAGGTATCACTTATCAATCAAGTTGAAGATTGAAGTCCAGGTGAAGAGGTTCCTAGAGGGGCTGTAAGTGGAATTTCCGCCGGCGATCACGCTACGCCTAAGGGCGACTGGTCCAATAAGGTACAGTCGCCAAGTGAATACGATGCCAAGATTTCTTGACAGATACGAAGTCTTCCGTGAATAATAAAACCATTATTAATTCCCTCTTGTAAGAGCTGCATGAATATTCAGTATTAAGCCAGGTTAAACTATACCCTAATTTCCCTCTTTCAGTAATGCTAATTGTTCGTATCTTTACCAGTATTACTTACCGCTTGTTTCCTTACATTCCTTTTTATGCGCTCACAGGTGAAGAGATTCAGAGTGGGGGAGCGTCATACCCATTTGGCGAATACGCTGAAGTTGGGCAGGACTTCAAATCAGACTCGCCCGAATTGGAATGTCTGGATATGGGCAAGATCACGGGAGAAATAAGTAAAGGTGAGGAAGTTGTGCCTTATTTTGTGGACAATATCCTGTACATGGATTCGTCTGACGAAGCGCTGATCAGGGAGCAAGCTTTCGTCAATGAAAGTTTGGTGACCTCAAAGAAGAAAAAGAAAGGCAAAGAAAAGCCAAGACTCGATCCGTTTTGAAAATAGATATACAACAAAAAGATCGTGATATTATGGTGGTTTTAATTTTTGCGTACTTTTCTAATAATCAAGAGATAATTCATGTAGTTCTTCTTCGTCTTTGATTGACGGTTAACTACATGTAATCTTATCATCCTGCTTGCCAATTTTACATGTTGTAGCTTAACTGAAGCGAAGTATTTGACTCATATAGAATCAGGACGTGCAGGCATTAAAGCATGTCAACAAGCTAATTATTCAGAAAAAATATTTACAAATGTAAAAAGTTGAGGAAAAACTGTCGCTTTAAAATATTGGATTGCACGAATTGTCAAGTTTTGAAAAAGTATGTAGAATATCATAAAACTATTTTGACTGTACATAAGCAAATAAAATGTTATACTCGGGAAGTTCTTTCTATATCACAAGTGCCTTATAAATGTATACAGGGGCAGATCCAGGGGCGTGCGGGCGCATGCCCCCCCCCTTTACCCCCCAAAATAAATACATAAATAAAAAGAGAAGAAAACGAAGGGGGGAAGAAAAAGGTGCCCAGCCCCATCAATGTGACAAAGGCATAAAAAACCAAGTTCTGCTTCCCAACTGCCATAAGGGCTTCTCGCTATGCCAGGCGCTTGCGGGCATTATACCATTGCTGCTTTAGTTCACGCCTCTTCCTTTTGGAAAATCCTGGATCCACCCCTGGTATACTTCAGTTTTCCCACCAGAATTTGTGATTTTGTTGTTCATTCGGTAATTTCGGCTTATTAATATATTCAAAGAATGTTTATGACAGTGGTGTTTTATTCCTGACAGATATTACAGCAAACAGTGTAAACTGCTAAGAATCAGTGGCGTCTCCAAGTGTCGGGTACGGGGGCGCTGTCCATTTTTCCATTTGTCACAGACTCTTCATCACAAAGGAGATTGTAGTATTGTTTCAAGGATGTTGCTGCTAAATTAGAGGCAACTCGTGGGGGGGGGGGCAACTCACGCCCTCTGGATACGCCACTACTCAAAATCTGTATGTGCAAAGATTCACATATCCTTCCGCCTTTAGTCAACTCGTACTATTTAATTATACCCAACTATTATACAGAGCGTATCAAAAAGCAACCAAATTTATTTTGAATTTTGTGGCTTGGCTTGGACCAAGTTTCAGTTTGAAATGCCAGCATAAATCCTATTCAATTCTTCCTCTCTGCTATGAAATGTTATTACTAATGAATAGGCCAGATGTGGTCGTAATGGAGCAGGTGAATCATAACATATCTTAGGCCTAATGGTTACAATGTTTGCATAGAGACCTGCTACAAAAGTAAGTTGTTATTATCAAGTTCACTCAATTTTTTTCTAACTTGCAGTAGTGTAAGATGCCCTGATTATTGCAATAAACTTGGTCCAAAGCCCACTTTGTCCCATTGTCCAAAAATAATGATTGTTCAGCCACCAATGACCGTGTGTGGATAAATAACATATCATTGGAAAGAGGGGATCTGCAGCTTAAGGTGCTACTAGTCAATTTGGTGTAAAACTAACACAACCTTCACAAAATTAAAAATAACCTTTGCTGCGTTTTTTGTGTGGATACGCTCTATATTCAGAATCAAAATCATGGAGGGGCTGACAGAAATGATTAAGAGAATGATGAGAGAAACTTTAGATGAGAGAAAGGAAACAGGTCATCATATTTAGCAACCTGAAGTTCGTCCTCTTCCGTTGCGGTGTGTTGTCTTGTGTGTTGTTCTTGTACATGCACTGTTCAGGCATTCACTGTCCCGCTTCTTCAACTTCAATGATTTTCCTTCTATTTCTGAAGTCATACTTGTTTAAATCGTCATTAGCACCATTTGGACAAGAGCAACTTGCAACAGAGTGAAAGTTCGATAGTGGCGTTTCGAAAATGAAACATACACCTTTTCACATCACGATCCAAAATTTGAAGGGACTTGTTTTTGGAAACGTCGCCGGTTACAGATTGGGTGCATGGTGTGTGTGCCCTTATCGTTGCCGTAGACTTGTCTGTTTCCAGTTTCTATTAATAGTTATTACAAAAGCAATTAATTATTTCATTCTTTTTTGAACATGTATAATTGTCATTACAACAGATTTATTTGTTCACATCCTTTTAATTATTAAAGGGAGTTTCACCTTTCCAGTGGTGAAAAAAAATGGGGCACGGACTTAATAGTTTAATCAGCGATGTAAAGAAAAATTCTCCTGTGGTAGTTTTTTAATTGCGTAGATATGTAATTTAAGGAATGTCTAGGCACACGTTGACTTTTATGTTTTCGCGCCACACATCAAGTCTATTGTCTTCTTTTTGTGCAGACTCCTTCCCTACATATTAGAGAAAGACTCTTATGATTCTGACAATTGTTCGGTAGAAAACGCCCTCTTTGGAAAAGTGCATGCCAAGACCACTTGATCACAGTATCTAAACAAGTAAGAACAAAAAAAATCAAGGCCGAGTCCAGCTTCCAGAAGCGAGAGATTCAACAGCGGATGGGAGGGGAGGGGTTGAAGTCCGCCCATAATAACCGACTCTAAATATTGATTGAGTACAGTCATTTGCAATAGTTTAAGACCACCTGGAATTTTATTGGTATTTCTGTCACTGGGCCTTCATGACATTGTCTCATTAAATGATTACTCAGCATGTTTTTACAAACTTAAATAACATCAGTTTAATGCCATTATACCCATTTGAATGATTTTTTTTGCAAATGCAGGTCTTGTATATGAGATTTTGTCTGCAAGGCAGCATGATTAAAAAAAGCCAGTCTAAGTAATCGGAAACTAGTAAATATTTCAAATCATGGAAATAGCTGTTTTAACCAAGATACTAAGGTTACACATTGAAAATAAACATAGTTGCCATGCATGATTGATTGGTTTAAGTTTGTTTTTTCTTCAGATTAATGTAGTTTGCAAGTGGGGTCGCTGTTGGAGGAGGCGGGTCCGCCCCTGGATCCGCTAATAATGTAATAGTAATTTTAATATGGAGCATTCACTAGATGCGCTAATGCTGTGATGTTTTGGCCCACCGATTCAGGAAATGGACTTTGGGATCCGTTTGATTTAATTCGAATTAATTAAGATTATTAACCCTAACCCCCTAGGGTGTGTGCAAACTCATATTAAAATTGGAGGATTCAGGACTTTTAGGGTTACGATTGCAAATAATAAATGAAAAAAAAAATCATGCAGTTCGTTAACACAGTATATTCAAACCTTACAAAAAATAGCATTTTTGAGCTGAAGGCTCTGCGCACTGGAAACAAAAAGAAATGAGGGAGAATTTGAAAACTTGTGCGGTGTTGGCCAAGCATTCAGGCGCACGGACTCCTAAGCATCGCAATGAATGGCAGGTACCGGCTTGCATGCGGGCCACTTAATTCTGGGTTTTCGGCCCACCACACATCCTCCACGTCCATCCATCTAAACCGAAAAGGGTCGATAGAGCAGCAGTGAAAAAAGGGGAGGAAACAAGACAAGTTTGGCCTCCGAGTCTCGAATCCGATAATTATTATATGCCACTAAAGCGCTCACTTCACCTGGTCTTCGCAGGCAGTACCAGCAGCAGAGCTCAGCCTGTTTGGCTGAGGTACTGTTGGTACGAGCTGCTGACTGACTACAAAACCACCGTCCACGTATCTGAGGGCAGCGAGCCTGACCCCTTGGTGACTGCACGAAAGTTGCTTTTAGCCCTGCATTTTAAAGAAAAAATATCTTTAGTTCTCACAGCACAGCTTGTTGCCCCGTAAACAAAGACTAAGAGGCTTACAAGGCACCATAATATCCCACGTTAATTTGGCAAATTCTGCTAAGCATTTAAAATAATACAGCTTGACCTTTTTTCTACCATTTTCAGGGCAAACAATCTCCTTTTCTGGGGTACCTATTTTCATGCTAATGATTAGTACAGAAATTATCGAAAGGGCCGACAGCGCAACGTACGTTGGCCCAAGTGTTGACGGTGCGTATAACAGTACATGTATAGCCATTAAATGCACCTTGTGAGGGCGCTCTCATAAATTTTACATCTGGAGCAAAAAAACCCGAGGCGGCAGCACATGGCTACTGTACTGTACTGTACTGGCAACTCGCATTTCATGTCTGGGGATAATAGGCAAAATCAGCGGCAGTTTCCGATCAGTTTGAGAAGACGAAGTGGCCATGGCGTCTCATGGAGGGCCAAGAGCAGTGGGATCAGATGGTAGCGATTTTACCCACAGAGAGCAAATTGCCAGCCGGTATCAAGCAAGGTAAGGAAATTGTTCGGCCACATATTGTTACGGAAACGCACCTGTTTCCGACAAACATCTGTCCATTACCGCTGCGTAAACAATTCCACTTTCAGGAACGTTTCCCGTGCTGATTAGTGTTGATTTTCCTGACTACACATCCCATTTCGTCTATTTTACATGAGGTGTTGTGTTGTTGGGTTTGTGCTAGCCCCACAAATAGGGCTGTAGTGGCTGTCTTTTACAATCTGTCTCTTATCTGTCACCATCACAGCCCTACTTCAAGGCATGTCTTAAATGCCTGAAATCCAAACTGCAGGATTGTCACAAACTTTGAATCCTAATATCTTCCGAAATGAGAATGCCTCGATAATTTTACTTACACTGGCGTATTCCTTAGAGTTTGGACTTTCATACAAGCACCCTAAAGTTTTCCAAAATAGTAAATTTTCCGATGTATGGCGCCTTGAAAAACCCGCCTGTAGTATCACATGCTGGCCACGGGTGGTGCCATTTTGAAAAACGAAGGCAGCGCTTCATTCGTCGGAAGTCTGGTGTGGATCACAATCAGAACACATTACATGTAGTCAATACAGCATGTATCAATGTACATACCTGTATGCATGGGTGTGTTGACCTAGGGTGACACTGGGAAAAGAATCTCTTGTTAAGCATGTCTTATTGTAGGCAGTATCTCCTTGACTTCCCCTTTGCTTTGTATTTTCACCAAAAACGCACCTCTGTTGGCCTTACTTCACAGCACCGCTCTGAAATCCAAACTCAAGATCTGCGCCTACGTCAACCTGTTCCTCTGCCTGCCCCAGGCTCTCTTCCTCGTCAACTCCCGGCTCCACTTTCTGTCCTTGCCCGAGGAGGCGGGGCCCCGCCTTTGCCACTACCTCCTCCTGGCGACCTGCCTCCCTTCGGCGCTCTACCTGGCCTCTCTGCCCCGGAATCGGAAACTCTGGCTGCGGCTGGCTGACCTGGGTACTCTTGGGTGTGGCCTTGGGGGCGTGGCACACGGGTTCTACTCCTACTTCTCGTCAGTTAGACTCATCATCTTGGATGGGGAGTACAACTCCGTACTGCTTTATCCTGTGTTTCTGGCTGTAACCTGGTACATAGTGTTTATAATCAAGACATTTCTTTACTGTCAAATGTTGTTTTACTCGAGGCAGTTAATGGCAACATGGGATGCGAAAAAGGCCAAATGATGTTTCATGCCAAGGAATCTAGGAATCTAGAGGGAAAGAAAAAAAATAACTTCAATTTTTTACATCTATCATGTTATCTTTATTCGTGCATAATTTTTATAAATCTTAAAAAAACTGTGAACATAAATAAAATGTGAACTGACATCAGGTTTGGTTGAATTTTTGGCAATGTAAGATATAGCTTTGTTTATCTTTGTCAAAGTGTAAAATCGCCGAAACAGATAATTGACAAAATACCAGCTTCACAAACTTTTCTGTTTATACCTTAGTTATGAGCACTGGGATGGCTGTCTTCATCTTAGATTGAATAGGTATCTTGCAACTTAGAGGGGAGAGATTTGGAAATCCTGTTTAGTTGGGGTGTTTTGAGGGTAGAATGTACCATTCACCAAGACCAAAAAGATGTACAAGGTAGTGACAAAAACATCTTTTTTTCTGTAATATTGCCATATTACAATTATGATTTTTATTTATTTTCAGTTGGAATAAAAACGTTTGGACGTTCTTCCTTAACTTCAACATTGAGTATTGTATGCGTTCATTGTGTTGCTTGTTGTGTTTGAATTTCAATAAAATTGCACTTTCCGGCTTTTCATGCCAATTGAAGAAAAAGGTGTGCAGGGTACATTCCACCAAATGGTTGTATTTCTGCCTGCGAGCTCATTGATATTTTGTGATCCCACATGATTTTTCCAATAAGACGGACCATAATCAGGAGGGATCATAGAAATATTTCTGTAAATCCTGACTTTGGGCCTGATGGTTTCCAGTTGGGGGTATTTCTTTCACAAGATGCCCCAAATTGCGGGCCTACTTTGGATAGGGGCGGGCGGCTACATTCAGAAATAAGCGCTTAGTTTTACTGCAATTTTTGGAGTATCTTCCTTGAAAGGCGAACAGAAAGACATTTTCGTGGCTAACTCCCATGAAATTGAAATGAAACGTGATCTTCTGGCCATAATCTTGAATTTCCAGTGAAAAAACAGAGGCCAACCTCTTCATGAGAGTCAACAGGCGGCGCTATTTCGGTCCGTTTTTTGCGCTGTTTTCTATGGGCGCGTGTTTTGACGTAGTGCAACCGCTCTACAGCGAACCAGTGCAAGCTTGTAACCGTATAATTGTTAGAGCGCCCTCATTTGGCGGCGTTAAAAAATCATGGTCAGAACGCCCTCATTAGTTTTATTGGGAAAATCCGGTGGCGCGCCATTTTTGTGTTCCATTCCATGCATTCTGAACGAAACAAACGGTGAAGTCATGGTATCCTTGTACAGAGGGATGTAAATCGAAATTTTCATAAGAAAATAACAGAAATGGCATTCCAGCCGTCCCAGGTATTCGCGTCTTTCTCCCCACAGGCAAATGAGGTAAAGCATACCCTTGGCGGTGCAAGCAAAGGCCAGAAACTTCTCCGTGAAATCCAAGTTTCTTCGACGGGCGAGGCCACTCGCGCCCCAGACCGGGCCACAGTTCGTGTGGTTGTCAACAGCACTAAGGAAGCGATAGTTGATGCCAAGACCAGCACAACCAGACGGCTTGATTACATTATACAGACACTTCATACTCACAGTGTTAAGGTAAGTAAGGCGGGGTTCATTACCATTAGCACCCTGTTCCTATAATACGGAAACAAAGTCCGCTTTCTCAAACTAGGCCTAACATTTTGACCTTAAGGAACCATTACTCAATCCTGATTAGGCCTAGTTTAGGTAAATGCTGACAATATTTAAGCAAGAAAACTTCAGATTTCTAACCCGAGTGTGGCAAAAAGACAACCACTCAGTCGAATGACGCCATTTTGTTTTTCATCTGGTTACCCAACTCAGGCTTTTGCATTTTGGATTCATCAAAACAAATCGCCATCCAGGTCAAGGAATCAGACTACATTCGCTTATGTGTCGTTCACAGCTCTCTTTGGGGCGGTCATGTACGCTGCCATTTTACCCAAAAATCTCACTCAAAAACCCTGTTCTCTTTTCTTTCAAATATGAAAGAGGACATCACCGACAACTTGTTTAGACAAGTTATTTCAAAAAAGTGGAATTTGTTCCCTCATAAGAGGAACAGGATGCTAAAGGTAATGAATCCCAGTAAGGCTTCAGTGAAACTATAAACACAGAACACAGCCAACCACTATTGGTCCATATTGCCTGGTACCCAGGTTATGTGTCATGCATGGGCCACAATGGAAAATTGAACATTGGTTGACAGCATGACCTACATTTTACAATGCACAAAGAATTATGGGGCAATTTCATGTCTGTGCTGGTAAAGTATACGCATATATGTGTTCATACACGCATGGCGCTGGGTGACATGGGCCGGTGACGAGTGATCAGCCCTGATGAATGCCTTGGGCATGATTAATGTAATTCTAACACAAAACTAATAATCCCACATAATGTGTTGATATTTTAAGAGCTGTTATTCATATGTGGGTCGGACAATTTGCCCAAGCATCTTTGATTTTGTTCAGACAAGCTCAATAAGTGCTCAGAAAATGTCCGATATCCGACCGTAATTTCACACTCTGATAGCCTAATTGGATTTAGTAGCAGAAAACATCCTAGGCTGGTTTCCACCGTTTACTTCTAGGATTACAATGGGACATACGCGTAGACCCTAAAGGGTGGAAAAAAAGATTGCATCAAAAGAGCTTTTCTGAATATTGGTCCTTTACATAAGATAAGTTGGGGGACAGATTTCACCCCAAAACAGCCACAAAATAATGGACGTGCCACCTGAGGTGCGAGTAGAGTTCGCGGATGACAGATTTATGTGTGATGTGCATGACAAGTGCAGTTTGCTGTTAACCCTAACCTTCCCCAATCACACAGAATTAAACCGTAGTAAAGTGTTTAATTCTGTGGGGATAGGTCTGGTGGGCCCAGACAGGTGGCTTTTGCATTGGGTTTGGCATACCTCAGAAAAACTAAGTCCAACAGCCGCTGTGCACAAAGTCCCATGTGGGTGTTTAACTTTTGTGTGAATGGGGAAGGTTAGGTCCAGCAACCCTTGGGCAGTTAGCCTGAGTTAGGGTGAAATTGTGAGGGCTTGCATTATGTTGCTGTTGGCGTTACCTTGCTCATAATAGCAGTCATGACCTGACTTGACTTCACATAACGGTGTGCCACGAGCGCACTTCCTGGCTTCTTTGTGCCAACAACTGATACTTGAAGTACTAAACATAGGTATTTTGGAAGCTACGATTTTTGTAAAATTCCATCCTGCACTGCTTCTTGCAGGAAGGCGACGTGACAATCAGCAAGTTCATCCAGCGAGTGGAGGGCGTGTACTCCATGGAGGCCGAGGTCACCATTGTCTTTGTGGACTTCACCAAGTGCCAGTCGGTCTGTAACTTCCTCACCGAGAAGCTGGACGAGTCTGTCAGAGTGTACCCCCCACACTTCTACCACAGCGCTCACAATTTGGAGGCCGTCAGGTGAGGTGGAAGCCAGTGCAGATCCTGTTCAGATAACGGCAGTCCTTACTCTTGTGACACCCCTCCATTTTGGTTGCACTTACTACATGTGTGTATTTTTTATTTTAACTTCTTTCAAGGTGTGTGCATTTATCAGTCCAAAAATAAATCTGCAAAGTTGAGCAAGGTTCAACTTTGCCGACCTTCTGCGTCGAGTAGCTGTGGTTTCCCCATACAAACACACAAGCTGGCATGACCAGTGTGCAACTATGTCCCTCTGGCTTAGGTCCACGAAGTTTGCCCATTTTCTCCTTAATGCTAAAATATTACACCCCGGTGATCAATGAAATAGCTGACCGTCAGTGACATGCTTGAAACTGGAGCAGAGGTTTGGCATCATGAGGTGGCACAGTCAATCTAAAAGCACATTTTCTGCAAACAATCATGGAGTTTCAGATGCCATGTTGTTCAAATTTTGGGGCGGAATAATGTCTTGCACAGTCTCTTCCATTCTTGTCTGCATCTTCATGACTGGCATTCTGTCTGCGTTACAAACGACCATTCGGAAACCAGGCTTAGCATGCTCGAACAAAGCTATAACAATCAGATATGTGTACAAGTAACTCTCCTCCAACTAGCTGATTTGCTTATCCCGACCCACCACGCCATTAATTGGAAACAAGATGCAAAATAGGGAGCATTTGTGGAATATCCTTAACCTCTTTTTCTCTGATTCCTTATTGCGTTCCTGTCAAATAAGACGTACACGTATGCAAATTTTGTTGTGATTTTTCCCTCTTCCTCCCCCCTCCCTTCATCCAATAGGAGGCAAGCATGTCTGAACGCCGTGCAGAACGCCCGACAGAAGGCACTGGAGGTCGCCCGTTTGCTGCGACAGGCCCTCGGCCGCCCGCTGACCATTCGCGAGGAGGAGACATCGGAGGTGGAGGGGTCCTCGCGGGACGCCTCGAACGGGCACGACGGAGCGTTGACGTTCCAGCAACGAATGGCCAGTGCCACATTCACGGTGACCACAAAGGTGTTTGCTCAGTTTGAGCTTGTGTCCCGAGAAAAGGGCAAACAGTTGAAATCATGACCAAGATTTTTTCATGTATTGTTTTTTTTTTTAATTTTGTCTATTATGCATTGGAAATTTTTATTATGAATTGAAAGTGAGAGTTTCCAATGGGCTGAGTGCAGTGTGTTTTCACATCGTAAGAAAGCAGAGAGCAATGCATTTTTTATTATGAATTGAAAGTGAGAGTTTCCAATGGGCTTAGTGCAGTGTGTGCAAGTGCTCCCTCGCTTGTTACAAAGAGGGAGACAGGCTGGTACCTAGATTCCATTGCCATGATTCGTCTGGTACCCAAGTAAGAACCCTTAAGATTTGTACCCATTCACATCAAGGTTGCACAGCACCACGCACACACCAACAATTATGCATATTTCACTTTGCTATAGAAGACAGAACACAAAGAGAATACAAGATGTCCCCCAGTTCTCAGCGGTCAGTCTATAGATGAATCCCTTGACCTTTATAATGCCGTCACTGGCTATTTACAGTAGCACCTGCCAGTGGCCGAAAGTAGTATGGTACACAGTAACTCGTCAGAGGGCACTGTTCCATGCCGGTCGTGTTCCATGATAGTCGTTCTTCAACCTTGGCCCATCACAGTGCTTCCAACCATTAACTGGGGCCACCGAGAATGTCCAGTGAAACATCTCTGGATAGTGGAAGAATTTTACTTCTTGTCAACGGTATAGAGTTCCAAAGTGCATAGACTGCACACACACACAAATATGTGGAAAAAGCATTAGCACATGAACAGGCCCTTTAAAGCATCACCTGTGCTTATTCTATTCATAGGCATTAAACATGACATGCTGTGGTACTCTAGAAAAGTGTGTTGGCAATAAGCCCTGTGGGACATTGTTGCCTGGTTGCAAAGCGCCCTCTTTTCTTAATATATGTATATAATTTCATGCAACTGTTTCATGAATGTTTCCTTCACAAAGCAATGGTGACCATTTTTTGACTGAAGACTGACAACTCCTTAACTTGTTCTTCTTGATGGGATTTGGAGAAAGTAAACAGTGAGATAGATGACCCTTGTTCAGTTAAAAATATAGTTTATAATACAGACTTTTGTCAAGCATAAACAATAATCTGACTTGCACTTTGCCTAAAGTTATCCAAGTTGCTCTAAAAATTCGAAGAAAATGTCACATGTCAATCCTATACAAATGTTGCGATCAATCTGCCTTTTAAATTTTTACTTCAACCAATTTAGGTTCACAACCCATTTTGAAATTGGATTAACCACTTACTGCCAGGTACCTTTGAAAATGCAGTGTCTAAAACCGGGCGATTTTCAATATCGTTGGTTTTCATAAATTCATATCTTTTCCTGCACGCTTCAACCTTATCAAGGGACTGTCTGGTGGCTACTCTAATCTGACAGGCCCTGCCGCCTTGTAAAATGAGCCCAGATTGTCCGGTGTTACAAATTTCTGATGCTGATGAATAATTTCTGAATTGCTAATGTCTTTTCAAATGCGGCCAGATTAGCATGCAGCGGCATTGTATCGCTCATCACTGGAGTGCTGGAGCACTTTTATTCCCAGCGGTAATCCGCTCGCACTGAATGCCTCAAACAGTGGTATAATCTTTCAAAACAGCAACGGATTTCCTCCGCCATTGACAACAGAATGAATGTTGGCAATTCCCAGCAGCTTGGGCTTTTGTTCCAAGTAGGGTCTTCTGTTACAAGGTCCAGCTCTTTTGTCCTATTTCAAGCACCCCGGCTATGCATACAAACCCAAGGTACTCAAAACCGGGTTCCCCAGTAGCAGGTGGTTAATGGGATATACGTTGTGCTTGGTGATATATGTTGTACTCAGTGAGCCCCTCCCAAAAAATGCATTTTCATCAGACATTGCACAAAAAGCCCATGAAACATGTAAGGCACAAAATAATGAGGTATTGTTTTGCATGGAACATACAGTAGGTGCAGATTTGATTGACGCCGACCAGTGTTTACAAAATCAGTGCACAAGGCGGTGCCTACTGGAGCGTTAGTAATCAGGTATAAACATTACTGTTGACCATTACTGCTTAAAAATTATGAAAGTTTCTTTGTGAGATTCACTGGCCATGTGACTGGAACTATTCACTTTGTCCATGATGTAAATTTCAAATAAATTTGTACAGTAACAGATTTGTAAGTTGCTTGATATTGCTACATTTTTGTTCAGTCAAAATAGTCTTCAATGTCTATGTTCGGATCTAGAAGGTTCTCCCCATAAGCACTTAGGTCTATCTTATTGAGAATCAAGTTCTCAAAGGTTTCCTCCAAGTCCGTTTCTCCAATCAGCACGGCTCCTTGCATCCGCCCATCTTTCAGCACCGCCTTCACGTACTCCTCCCCCTTGGTCATTCGAAGGAGCATCTCGTAGTCGGAGCCCAGCCCCTGGGCGTTGAACTTGCCCAGAAGCACCACTTTGTAGCCGAAGAACCTGGTGGCGTGGGCAAAGAGCTCAAAGCAGAAGTCCTGGGAGATGGGCTCCTGGCGGACGTTGGCCACCATGCACTTGGCGGCGTAGGCCCCCATCTGGCGCGCCTGGGACCAGAGACGCATCTGGAGCCAGTGGGGAGCTGGGTCCCACGACGCTGTGCACACGTCGCCCGCTGCGTAGATGTCGGGGACGTTGGTCCTCATGTGATCATCCACCTTCAAACCGCCGTCCTCAGCTACGTTGAAGCTCGTCGTCTTCAGAAATGCACCGGCGTTGGGTGTAACGCCAGTTGCACTAATGACAAAGTCACAGCCGTAGAGCTTGCCATTGGTGAGAGAAACATACACAGGCCAAGAAACAGTTTCCTTGAATTCTTGGGTTTCCAAAAAGGCGTCAGGAGTCCGTCCTGATGTGGCCACTTGTTCAGGTGTAAGTATACCATCAACCTGAATAAGTTATGTTATGAAATGTAGACAAGAAAATGTAGGCAATGAGGACTCGGCATGTCATTTCAGAATTTGTAACATGACACAAGAAGGACAGAACAGACACAGGTAACCATTCTTGAACTATTAACATTAGTTACAAATCATAATCTAGCCAAAGTTTTCACCCCCTAACAAAATTATGTCTAAAAGCCCACTGTGCTTAAAATAATTTCACAAATGTCAGACGAATTCTTTGCAGTTTAGTGAAAATCAAAATAATGCACCCATTTGTGATGAATCCGGAACTCTGCACACTCGGAAGGACGACCTCACCTTGTAATGGATTTCAATGTCAGAAATCTGCCAGGGTCCAAAAAGCATACAGGATAACTGTCAGAACTCCATACCCAAAAACAAATCACGTACCTCACACTTGTACTCCACACGGATGTTGTGCGAGCCTTCGGCTTGGCCCTTCATCATCAACCCTGTGCTCCAGTCAGGGCCCAGGGCACCCCCTTGGGTGTCAGAACCCCCACCTGTGCCACTACTGACTGTAAATTAGAAACAGGAATTGATCTGTGATGATTAATTTTCTAAAAGGAAACAGGTTTGAAATGATGGGTTGGACTCCAAAGAAAGAGAAAGCCCAATGGTTTCACGTTTGCTTCCAAAAAAATTTACATTGAAGTAGACTGTGTATCGTTGAGTCCATCATAAGTCCCTGTAAGTTTGTCACAAGTCATGCAGTCTCAAACCAAATCACAAGCTATAAAAGTAACTTTGATGAGGGCATTCCTTTGTTATAGTTACCCTCTTGCTAACGTAAGAATCTGTGACTTGACTTTTGATGGACCCGACAACAATACAGGTGCATGTATGTAAAGTTTAATTGAAGGGACCAGAGGTAGGTGAACATTTAAGGTAATGGATGAGATTTAAGAAGGTTCTCTCCAAACGTTGTGACAAAGAACCCATTGTTTTATAGCACTTCCCAATTCCTGGGTTTTCCTCCCTCACCCGGTTCTTAAATTACTCCCTAAGGAAGCTGGAGGTCTTGGAGTACAGTACATCCAGTTATGGGATGTATTCGTAGAGCTATATTAAATTTAAAAAGTGCTAACTTCTCATTCTCCACACGGAGAAAATTTGACGCTCTCCTGGGCGCAGACATTTTGAATCCGTGTGCGTGCTTGTAGAACATTCAAATCAGGCAGAATGAAAATTGAATTATATACTCTAAATGCAATGCGCATCATGTACCGCTAAAATCTGATTAAAAAAGCCATGGCAAACCATCTGCAGTGTATACGCACACGCATTTGCGTTATTTACGCAGAGCAAGATGAAACGCTCAATTACTGATTGTGTGTTAGTTTTTTGCATATCGGCTCTGTTGAAGTGTTGTTTTATCATAGACACAGATGAGATAGGCAAATAGCCGTACAAGACATACAACATTTTGAGTTTTCCATAGGTTTGTGCACAAACATGGATGCGCCCAACAGGCATCACTTTGTACATGAGTCAGTACTCTAGTTCTTATATATAGCTCTGCGGATGTGTTACAGGTTTCTCACTGAAAGAAAGCAACAATCCAATAGCTGACTGCCTGTATGCAAGCATTGTGGTAGAGTTCATCGCAAGTCCCTTCATGAGTCCTTTCATGAGACCAGCGACAAGGAAGAGGATCTGGAATTAATCAGCTCCAACTGGAGCATCACTCAGTCTGAACAGCAGTTTTTTTTTATTTATGGCTCGATTCAGAGTGACAAAGGAATATTTTTGTCACGGTTCATTTGAATAGCCTCTGATTTGACTTGTGACCAGGACGCCTCTGATGGACTTGTAGGGACTTGTAATGGACTGGACTTTGAGTATGACACTGCTACGCACCAGTGTACTTGTGTCTCTTGAGGGGCCCCTTTGCCGTCTCCTTCTCGGCGCTCAATTGCGGCAGGAAGAACTCTGCCGCACCAGCGTCCACGAAGGTGCTGCTGATAGCATCATCCTTGATAGCCCACACCACCTGGCATCCTTCAATCTCATAGACAAGCTCAGTCGCGATGCCGCCGTTGCCGACGACGACCACACGCTTGGCTCCCGACATCCGCTTCTGAAACGTGACTACGCTCTCCGTGTCCCGGATGCCCAAAACATACGGGTTGTCTCGAGCAATCACTTTGGGCTGTCCCCCCGTGCAAATGCACAGTTTACGGTATGCTACCGTGGAGCCCTCACGTGTGGTGAGCCTGTGGTCTGCAGCATCTAGGCTGTCAACAGTGCATTGCAAGACTTGGACATTTGTACACTGCGTCTGCATACTGCTAGCAGGGCGTTCCTCCACATCAAATTCTTCCAAGGCTCTGGAGATCTGGTCCAAAAACGACATAAATAATATCCATCTAAGGCTGAATTATGCAATCTTGAACTGAAAACTAAAAAAGAATTATTTCTCGATCCATCTACTTTGAATGCAACTTTCCTTTGTTGTCTCCACAAAAAGTATCAAAGCTGTTGGTAAATTTTTCAGCCCCAAAAGTACGTGTTTGTTGCTTGGACGGTACCTTTGTGAAGTTTGTGACTGCCTTGATGAGGGGTGAGCTTGTGACCAGTAGGATCTGTTCTTCAGGACACAATGCAGACAGCTGCTCGGCACACGTAACCCCCGCAATGCCACCACCAATGACCACATACATGTAGCTTCCTTCCATTATCCTTGCCTCAGCCATGGCATTGACAAGTGGTTGTCTTTGCCTGCTAAAAGAAACCTACATCTCCAGTGAAACTTCTGTTGAATCCAAAGCTAAAAGGATGAGAAAATCACTCATATTATCACAACCTAACATTTGAGAATCTCTTTAACCATTTTATACAATTCATTATGAAGTTGAAATCATGAATGAGTTTCAAATCAAAACTAGGCTACGGACCTAGACGCATTAGCCTATAGACTTTTACTTATGCCAACATGTATAATTAATACAGTACAGGCCTAAAGACTGAAAATTTACACTGCGTTCAGGTTTTATTTGATAATGATGGCTTTTGTTTTGCTGACCTAAAACACAGCCATAAATTATTGAGGGTTTCATTTTACGCGCCCGTTTGCGCATTCGCCCATGGTCTTAGACCTGCCCCCTGAAATTATCAGCCACTGAGTGACAGCGGCCATGACACACGCCAGCACTGCAGAACGCAAGCTGACATTACTTCATGTCCATGTTCATGTACTTAGGCCTATGAAGACAAGAAAATGTTCTACGGCCTACCTTTTAATTTTTTTACCTTCAGACTAGGCCCTATCATTACGTTGAAACGCGTTATTTTAAGTCTAATCCAATATCCGATTGTGGTAAAACTGCGTATAATCTGCAGAAATGCGCATGTAGATGCTGAGTTTAGTTGCGATGTGTTGTGAAATGCGGGGCAGCTGCAGAATCCATGGACGCCGCCATTTAATGACCTTTGACACGACCCGTGACCCAAACACGACAAAATGGAGCAGGACGATGAACCGGAGGCAGTCGTTGTTGATATTTTACATCCAGAAATACTGAGCAGAGAGGACCTAGCTGATCTACTGTCCCAGGTGAAACACATTTGATAGTCTGCTTCTTTGCAAAATCAGGATATCAAAATATAACTTTGACAATTTGCATGGTAAAATTTCATCATTCCCTCGCAAATCAACCCATGTACAGTGTACATGTAGGTTTGACGTTGAGGGCCGAGGGTGGCAATGCATTGCGAGTTGTGCGAATTACAATGTACACGTGCCTTTTTTGCCATGCTAAATTTGTTAGTGTAGGTCTAGGCCTCCTTGTACAATGTACATGTACAGTTGCAGAGCAGGCTTTTTTCCCAAATAATGTCACAACTAGAAAGAAGGACACTACGTCTGACAAATCTCAAATTAATAAGTAGGCCTACTTATATACTTATTCAATAATAAGCCACTGTACATATGTATGTAGTTGGTTACTGTTGGTAGGCCTCGTAAGACTATGAACCTTTCTGAGATTACTGATGAGAGATTTGAAAATAATTATACTAAAATAAAAGGACCAATTCTCGCACTCGGGATGACATCACTGAGTCTTGATTCTTCTCTCGGATTGCTCAGTTGCAGGCTATTCCATATTTCACACTCAAAACTCAAAGGGCAAAAATAGTGTTTAGGTCTTTGGGGAAATAACTTTACATCAAATGTGCCTGAAATTTCACTATTTATCTCCCACACTGTACCGAAAAGGTGTCAGTTATTTCTATCATGTTGCAGCAAACAACAAGGAAAACATGCAATCCTGTACAAGTACATGTAAATGGAAAGTTGCCCCTTTGCCCAGACATGAGTGGAACAACCTCCGACCATAAGAATATTATGAGCAGGGCTCATTTGGTGGGGATCATACAGTAACACTATAAGATGACCCAATGGAATACTCTCAACTTCTCATTTTCAATGATATACCAGTACCCGGTACTTGTCACCTTGTCAGAACCACTTGTAGAATTTTGCCCTTCACTCATGTCACTCCAGAGTCCACCTCACAAAACATCTACATTTCAAATGTGTATATCTGTCACTCAAAATATTGCAAATATGATAATGTAATACTTGTAAATGATGTAATCTGATAATTATACCTCTGTGTTATAACACATACTAGTATAACTATAAGGAAAAAGGAGGTTTGAAAAACATTTTTAAAGGAAACTTTGTCAGTAGTCACAAAAATAATTACTTCGCATTGCATTTGTAGGAATTATGACCAAGTGGGGTTCTTGTGTTTTTTCCCGTCATGGCAACAGAGACACATCAAATTAGATCGTCCCAATGCAACAAAGGAGGACCTTCTCGAGATCTTCCACAGAACCATCACACCCCTGCCTCAGCGTGCACCCAGGGCCAACAGGCGAGGGCGCACCACTGCCCAAGTCCACAGGAAGCTGCTGCAAGCCAAGCGACGGCTGCAAGCCAATAGTGATCAGGGATCGAAGGTCACGATGACTGTTGGATTCTCAAAAAGGTTTGTTGTTGCTCCTGACTTCAGACTCAGTTATTGTGTATGTTGATGCTGCTTTATGCACAGTTTAACAGTCTGGCCTCGAACCAGAGGTAACACTTTCATCTAGCCCTGTGTAATATCAGGAGATTAAGTGACAGGCATATTATATTGTGCACGGATTGGTGAAGTGGAATTTATGTACATGTATGTAACTGTTAAAGAAAATTCAAGTCCTGTTTCCTGTTGTGGTCATTTATTGGACCAAGATTAGGCCCAGCTTACCCAATGAGAAACAACATTGACGGGGCGCGAGGGGAGAGGCATGTTCCAATGAGATTTGTCCAGGATTGTCTCCAAAAAGTCTGCCTAATCCTAATAGGGAGCACGTACATCCCGCTCTTAAAAGATGCTGCAGGCGCGCACGCGATAACAACCACAACGGTACACCAGCTCAACTGAAAAAAAGGAGAGTCACTCACATCCTTTTTCTTTTTGTTTTTCATGGTTCACCGTTGCAGCGTTTCATCTGAAACCCAACCAGAAAGTGAAAAGAGCTCAGACAGAATTTTGTACTCCTCATGTAACCATATACCCCTTCAGACCGAAACTTCATTTGAGAGAGATCTGTGCTGAAATTGTATGGTGCACCGTTCTCAATGCACCCAATTTATCCCCTTTTCAATTGCCAACTTAACTCTTGTTGATGATACCTGCAAGCAGCAATCCCATTCACGCAAATTTACTACATGTATGAACCCTTCCACTGCAAAAATCCTGAATCGATCATAACCCATAGCTGTTGTATCACTAAATATTAAATAACTATGTGTTTACATACATGTATACATGTACTTTCTTTTTTTGGGGGGGGTTATTATGCTCTTGACAGGGCGTACTACCACACCTTGCTTATAACAGTCATTAAGTATTCCATTCCATAACCATCTAATGCTTACAGTTTCACACGGCAGTGCCCAAAACAGCAACGCGGCAAACCCCCCGGCCCTCCCAGGTAACACAGACCCACACTCATGATACCCGCTTTCCACTAAGAAACTCAGACAATCCTAGACAAAATAGTTGGAACACCTTGTGGAAAGCGCGGCGAATAGATCCCCCCCTCTCCAATTTTTTTTTTATTTTGACTTCGTTATAGATACCATTTCCCCCAGTTTTTACCACAGATGACATTGAAAAAGGGGCCACACTTGCAGTGCTTTTCTGTCAACTGAGGCCACAGGCGGCCATCTTGCCTCCCAAATAGAAAAGGTGATCATTGGCTCCCATGCCACAATGGCAAGTAAGCCTCTGTATTACCCTTGTATTTAGCACTGCAATATGGCTCCTGGTGGCTTCAATGACCTCTGTGGGCTGAATGAGGGCATTGAGAGTCCAGACTTTTTGTATGCAATGCCCATGGTCTTTACTTACTTATCCAGTTTCACTTTAAAACCACTTTGTTTTGTCAGATTATTTTGTCTGGCCATTGATACTTGGTGTTTTCACCATGTTGTCTCACACCTTTATGGGACGTTCATGTTGGCCACGGAGTGACTTGTGCAAGGACCATAGGGGAAGCTGCAGCATCTGTTAGTGCAACCAGTGAACTGAAACGTTGTGCTCTGGTTACTTTCACAGCCAAAGAAACCAGCAATCGCCAGGCCTGAATAGCTCATCAAGTTCTTCCTCAAGTCCGGGCACAAGCAGGCTAAAGCCACCCCCCGTTGTCACCAGCAAGCAACGGACGCTCAAGCTGCCTTCGTCGAAAACATCATCATGGCCTTCTGGTTCTTCCAGCACCACGATCAAAGCTGCCAAAGACAGCACGAGTCCGGCCACAAACAGCCAGGTCGACTTGGAGCCTAAGAAGATCGTGACCAACAAATCGACTGTGCAATCAAAACGGGACAGCCGAGTGACCAGTCCTACTACCTCAGCTGTCACACCAGACTCCCTGCCCCAAATCAAGCTCAAGACCAGCATAAGCCCAGCAGTTGCACCAGTTTCAGATAAAATGCGGAAGATGTCTGTGAAGCCGTTGGGCTCTGATTCCACCAAAATAGCCCTGAAGAGGCCAGTACCATTGGATATCAATGGAAAGGTAATTATGACAATCCCTATTGAGCTTTATTGTCAGAGCTGAGTGACCTAAATTCAGTGTATTATTTAATTGTTATTTTACAACTTGACACCGGATGACGTATAAACACACATCATTTCCCTTATTATTCCACAGAGGACGTGCACACTCAGTTAAGAATTCTTTTTGGCATGTCTGCGGTTAACGTATTAACGCGTTGTGCTTGGTTGGGTCAAAGCACAAGCGCAAGGTTGAAGAATTTGCATGAAAAAAAATTTGCCCCCTGCAGCTTTTTCGGGTAAGAAAATCCGATATTAACTGGTTAACTGCAATGTGCGGACTTATCTGAGTGGCCACCAGTTCAGGGGTGAGACAACGCACATACATGTTGGCAGGTCGCATTACCCTATCAGCCAAAAAAAAGACATTCCAGCACGTGTGCACCCTTCATTTAGCATGCCACAGTAATGGCATATGATTAACAGTCACGGGATACTTGTCGATTTCCAAAAGCACATAATTTGATTCATGTGAGAAACGATTGCTGAAGGAGTCATGCAAAAGAGATGAGAATGAACTTCCAAGAATTCAATGTCTCTTCTTTCCAGACCAACCCTAGATCATCGGATACAACGACAAAGACCTCTTCATCCGAAGATGACCATTCACCCAAGCAGAAAATCAAGAGGATTTCCTGGCCTTGATGAAAGCGGTCAACAGTGCTGAGGACTGTTTCACATTGGGGCACCGATTCAGGGATGGACACATGGATACTACACACATTTGCACATTTTATATTCCCCAAATTAGACCTTAGGCATTTGACAATTGTTGACTTCTTTCATGTTGAACGTGATGTTTTTGTGCAATCTGGAAAGATTTCATATGAATCACTGACACACATCCTTGAGGTGGTAGGATTCAAATACACAGGCTGGCAACTTTTCCTCGGATCAGCTTGATTTCCTCGTTTTCACTTCACACTCATGACACTGAAAATTGAAAAACACCGTACAAAGTCTTGTGAAGATTGGAACTTCCTTGTTATTTGTCAAAGTCCAAGTTGCACACCGGAATACATGGTCACAAAAAAGTAGTCTACAATTGTGTGGTAAGATTGGCGAATATTCAAAAGGTGAAGCATGCTACTGTGCTCAGGAAGTGTGTTTAAGTGCCTCAGTGTGTTAAGCCGGTTATTCTGTCAGGTACGAGATTGAAAGGATGTGGCATCCTCTGTCACATGCTACATGAACATGTATACACACACAGTTCAGACACCGTATGGGTAGTGGAACTCTGTCTAAAGTCCTGTGGTTGAAGGAGGTTATCATCTGAGTTAGTGTAGTCATGGAAAATCCTGGAGCTCTTAGGGAACGATGTGGTCCTGAAAAGTCATGGGAAAAGTCACAGAAATTCTGGGAAGAAAAGGGTGTCCTGAAATCCTGTTCTCAGAAGAAAAGTCAAAGAAAAGTCATTGAAATCAAGATCGTGCAAGGGTTATTTTTGGTTGGCTGCAGGTCGCTATTGATGTGATAGCGGAACAATGATAAATTCACAGGCTATCTTCTTGTCAGTCCTATAGCTTTGTAGTGTCTATGGCAGTCTGCTATTTCACAATACACGTACCAGTCAATTTTCTCTGCAAAATAGCATGGAATGTCATGGCAATTGTCAAATTTTAGTTCCCGTAGAGTCATGAAATTTGGTTTTCAAATTTCTGTTGGGACTTGCCAGGCCATAGACAGTTATTTTGATCAACCAGACCCATGGCTATTGTAGACATGAGAATTTGTCCAAAATATGATGAAACAGTTTATTTGGCCTTCATACTTATTACAGGAGAAATGGGGAAGAGGTTGAAGGGAATTGTAGTTTTTTTCTTACTCGGCAATAATTTCCAGTTTTCATGGTCATATTTTTGGCTTTTTTCAATGCAGTTTTGCCAGTGCATACAAGGGTGCTTATTGAGATTTTGTGAACTGTTACTATCATTGACTCAAGCCAGTGACTCAATTCGAGTCATAATCTTTGGTGACTCAACTTGAGTCCCGATGGGTAACTATTCAAGTCACAAAAATGAGTGACTCGTTGTAACTCTGGTTTCTGTATGGAAACTTTGATACACAGGGATTTTTCGATGCGATATAGAATTTTTAAAAAGTGATGTTGGAGAGTAATTAACAGATAGTTAGTTCCTATCTTTACAGCATATTTCGTCAGTGATCGCTTTGAATTTGCCACCTTCAGTTTCTAATTCCACCATGTATCCAAAAGAGGGAGGTTCCAGAGGTTTCAAACTGTTACCATGGCAACTTACAGCTTTACCCGATACCTAGCAAACTCCAGATTTCAGATAAATTTCAAGCAACATCTGTTCAGTTTCTTTTGATTCTACAGGTTTTTAATTTGATGAATGATTCTGATTTCCCCCCCCCTTTTTTTTTCCTTTTTTTTTTTGATTTGAGAGTACATGTAGCATTTCTAACCTCGTCATTGTTGTTGTTTTTTGTGTTGCTGTTACGCTTGGGGGAAAGTGCCTCTTGTATACACACTGGTACCTGCCTGAACTCATTTTTATTTGTAGAGATACATGCGTGTAATTGTTTTACAAGTTGTACATATTTTCCACTGAACAGTTGCTAAATGTAAACATAACTTAACAAAATGGCGATACGGAATCAAGGTCTATCAAACTCTTTCTAAAATACACCAAAACAACTTGGGATCGTGAATTTGTGGGCAATCAGTTTTGCCAACAGGTGTGATTGCAGGGCTCAGAAGTAGCCAAGGGTTCTGTTCTGTTAATATCCCGCAGCTAGCAAGGGACACATCTTTCGAGGAAGGTTATTTCTAATTCTGAGGCAGTGCCCAAGCAGGCTTTACAGTGTCTCTCAATGTAAAGTTTTTGTATAAGTTTCTGTTCTGATTATGAAATGGGTTTTCTTGTTTTTTTTGGGGGGGGGTTTTTTAAACATAATTTTGAGAGCCATGCATTTGTGGAGTCACTCACCCCCTCCCCTGCCAATGTTTTATTTTGTGAGGGTTCTGGAAGATATAAACGGGCTTGACTTATGGAAAGTAGTAGTATTAGTGTGCCCATGGAGACATAGATGCCTGAGGGCGCAAGTCTCTTGGAAATGTTGCAAGAGATTGTTGCCAAAGGTCTTATGGACAATTGGATAATTATTTTTTTATGAGGTAGTAACAGTAATAGAGACTGACACATTCTTCCGATGGAATCGCAGATCATGACGCCGTGATTTTGTGAATAATGACTGGGGCTCTTTGCGACATTGCAATGCGATACGAAACGGCGTATTGTTTCCGATCACGTCTTATTTTGTACATGCCGCGTGGCATCTGACTTGGCCTACTCGTAGATAACAAATGCTGCTTTGAAATATTCTGATTGTTTTCCTCAGATTTTCTTGCGTTCGATTTTTCTTGTCCTGTTTGAAAGGCTGGTAATCTGTCAAGTGTGTTTTGTCTGTAAGACGTAAATAATCGTCAGATGGAAGATCAAGCCGTGTGACTCAACTGAAGCAGGGAGGAGACGCTTTGGTCCAACAGTACAACAGCGCCCTCTTTTCGATAACCTGGCTTATTTTAGTCCAGGGGTATTCTGAGTAATACAAATCTTACTTCAATATTCAGTTGATAATACTGAGTGCTTCCTTTGGGAAATTGGGATGAGATATTGTACGTCTGCGTTATTTCGAATTGTTATTACTGTTGGCATTGTCGACCTTACATTGATGAAAAATGGCATTATGCTGGTATATGGGAATTCACCTCGGTCCCAATTTTGCGCCATGACCACTAGTCTGTATTTGGAAGGGGACTGGTATAATTAAGAACGTTGGAAAGTTCAATATACATGTAATTATTTTGATTTGGATGGGTCTGTACCCACCCTTGCAGCATTGTATAGCCATCAAAGGGGGTGTGCTATGAGAGAATGCAAATGGTTAGAGAATGCTATGAGCAAAATGGGGGAAGCTAAGTCGCGCGACAATGCAACTTCGGGACCGTGAAAAAAAAAATATTGAATGCAAATTCAGGAACTCGGTAAAATGACCAGAGTATTATTCTTATTAATATAACCCACCAGTATCTTACGACTGTCTTTATGATGGCTTAATTTTGTAAGTTTAGTGAACGGGACAGCTTGAAAAAAAATCCGTTTTTAAAAACAAAATCTTGTCAAAAGCCTAAAGACTGTACGCGCTTTTCCAGTCCCTCCGGAAAATCTCTCTTTCACTGTCCTGAAAGGCGTCATTCGATGTTTGATTCCAACACTTTCACTTTCCGGAAAGCAACTAGACATGACGGCAGCTTACGAAACTTGTTGCCCCAGAAAAACTGTTGCGTCATCAATCCACTTACGGTTTTCTTCCGTCATTCCCATTTTGGTCAGCGGAAAAGTTAACTTGATCTACACGCGTATAATTTCACGGTTTCCCCATGATCAAGCGATCTCGTTGTGCCCAGGAAGAGATGCTCTCTACTTGTACAATTAAGCGGGCGTTAACACAATAGGAAGTTAAACATATGTTGAAACTGCTGTGAAAGCCATTAGGAATTTCCCCTTTTTATAAATAAGTTTGTGACACAATCACGAGTGTGTTTGGAGTGTGAAATAGCATGCTTTTCCTCGTCAATGTCATTTGTATTGACAAATTTTCCAGAGACGTGCGCCTGCTTCACTGCTCCATGTTAGTTTGCTCCATTGTTGGTAAGTAAAAAATGAATTAAACGGTGCCGATGCTGATGAGTTTTTTTATTTAATAGGATCACAAACTAATTTTTCCACTGCCTGAAGCATTCATCAAAACAAGCCTGTCAGTTTCTAGTGAATTCAACACGAATCTGCGCTAACCCTGCATACCTAGTGTGGACTTGTGAACAAAAGAATGTCCACACGATGCAGGAAAGGAAGACGTTCTGTGTACTTACACATGTCCACAGGACGTTTCCCCTTCTCTGAAAAAGAAGTTTAAAGGCATTTTGGGGTAGGGGTAATTTGTTGAAAGGAAGAGGAATGGTCAAGGAAACCTTGTTCAAAAGGCCAGCTGAAAATCGTGTTCCTAGTTCAAGAAAAACGAGTGCATGTATTTTCACTGAGTTCTCTTATCTGCACGAAAAGAAAGGAATGTCCGCACTAGATATGTAAGGTAAGTGTGAGTGATTTGACAAGCTTGGAAGTCTGTTCGATCATCATCAAGACACAAGGTGTATCAAAAAAAAAAAAGGTAACCCAACTTCCAATGGTTACTGTGGCAAAGCTGAACACTTTCTCGCAGAAAACAATATTATCTCAAAGTGGAGAACAAATGCTTTCCAAAAATGCCTCATTCAGGATTTTACCGTCACGCATCACTGAGCACCAATGTGTTGAAATTTAGGCGCATAATTGGAGATGGCTCACTTTGACGTGGGACAGAATTAACACTGAATCATGTTTTTTCCCTCAGAATTTTCTTTGCCTTTAATCCAGTCAAGACATTTTCAAAGACTTTTCATTGTCCAGTGCCCCCACGTGACCCCCTCTCCAAACACAGTGGGCATCGACGTGTCATGTTGTTCACGGCTCGTTTGTCTGGCCAAAAACTTCAGCGTTCGTGAAGTCTTCAAGACAACGATTCGCTGTTGTGTCGCCAGCTGCATCATAGTGAGATTCACACACACTGTCTGCAGACCTGTCAAAGCACTCAGCTTTTTATCTTAGAGCGATTGCATATTCAGCCATGGAGGAATTCAGCAAAGGCATTTCCACTCACACCCAAATCAATTATGACAGAGGCAATGTTGATTTCATTGACCCGGAAAGTGAGCCATCCCCAATTATGCACCTAAATTTCAACACATTGGTGCTAAGTGATGCCTAACGGTAAAATCCTGACTGAGACATCGTGTTAAGTATTTGTTCTCTACTTTGAGATGATAGAAAGTGTGTAGCTTTGTCACAGTAACCATTTAAAGTTAGGTTTCCTGTTTTGATACACCCAGCAGACTTGCCTGATTGAGTCAATTGCGTCCCAGTCGGGGTCTCAGCCTTAAATAATTCGAGCCATTGAAATAACCCGCATTTTACCGGTAACATCAGAAGTAAGACTTAAAGAACACTCTTCAAAGAGGCTAAGTTAAGGTAAGATTCAAGGAAAACGCGGGCTTTATATTCGAAATCGGTTGAAAAAAAAACCAGATGAATGATAAAAACAATGACTTGAAATCACTTATAAGAAAACTAACAATAACACAATCGACAAACAGTGACCAAAATTCAGATTAATATAAAGAATTTGGGTCAGCCAGGAACAAAACGCAAGGGAATACGACGATTTAAGGATAAATACTGAACACGAAGTACTCAATGCGACGGACACATTATGCTTCGGATGTACTAATTTGTACCGTTGTCACGAAGAAATGATATTTGATCTGGTCTTCAAGTGAGAGGCTGTCTATTTATACCCAAGACAACCATGAGCCCTCTCGCCTATAGGCGCCAGCATTACTTCTTCCTCGTCCGTCTCAGTTCAGCCTCGTTGCCTTTGTGCAGCTGGGGGGTCAATGCTCGACAATCTACGATCTCAGTACATTTCACGCCATTAAATAAAGACTTGTTTGTTTCACCACCCCGAGATTATCTTCACGACCGTGAAATTCGCGGATTGCGGGTGTTGCAAATCTGCCTGTATTTGTTTTCTTTTGTCTGAAAGCTAGAGTGTATGATTACCACATACTGGTAATCATGATGAAATAGAAAATAACAGATCATAAAAGTCTCGGCCGGTATCCAGTTACAACCCGGAACATTACTGTCGTAAGCGAGGAAGCAAACATTGATGAATGTATACATTTCTCTGTGTTTTTCTTTCGGCTCCGTTGGCGGGGGGGGGTTGCAATAATTGCCCAATTTTTCTCCTAGGGTCGGCTGGTGCTGAGCTGGCTGAAAAAAACAGATTAAATATCATTGAAAGTGCGTTCCATAGTCAAGGTGGAACACTTTCATTAGTTTAACCGTCAAACTGCATTTGAAGCGAGATATGGGACGGAGAAAACCCCCCCGCCTTTGTGTTGGTCGGAATCTCAGGAATTCTTTACAGACTTGTAGGGGGGATGTGTTAGGTAACAATAGTCTACAGTGTGCATAGGGATTGGAAAGGTAAGAGGGGTACCCCTCCGTCCCATATCTTGCCTGGTATGTCAAACTGACTGGCAGCAAACGGTCTATCACGCGCTTTCTTTGTTGTTAATGAGTGTTCATATAGGCCTACTTTTGTATTGCTGCTTACCCAATCGATATTATGCCCGCGCTCTCATTGGTCAGTTGAGTAATCCTGTTGTATAGTATGGCCGAAGAAACCCCTTTAGTCCGTAGAAATGAAAATGAATGAATCATAATTATCATAGACATTAATGTCACCATACAATCGTTACAAATCAAAATACTCGTATAAATACGAACAAAAGGCTGTACTTTTAAATCAAAGGTTGTTCGTTAGTATTGATGTCACGCGCCCCCAACCTAAACAGTTTAACAGCAGAGACTAGATTCTCAGCAAACAAATCGAGTTGCACGTTTGCTTAATATAGTGTAGTTGGTGTCACATCTAGCACAAGCGCTCAATATTTGAACTGGGTGATTCAAGTGCATGACGTGATGTACACTTTGTTGCGTGCAAAGCGCTATAGCTTCGCGTGTCATGTACAATGAAAAACTAGCGCGACGTGCATGCAGAAGGCAAAGAAAAGCATGGGGTTGCCAGCCGGCCGTCAACAAAATGAAACCGAAAAGGCGAAATTGAAAATGTAAACCCTGTGTTTTTAGTTCGGATTTATTTATCCTGTAGGATAAACTGCATCTTCCTTAAAGATGCCCTTCGTCAACCGACGCGTGGAGCCCCTTTACCTGAGCAACAAAGCCCTGCCGAGCGGATGCAGTACGGAGCTCGAGAACGTAGCCAACAATTCGCTGGCCAACTTGGTCCGGCAGTTGGCCGACATCGCCGGCCATGCCACCAGCATCTTCGACGGGATATGCGCCGAGGCCCGGGACATTCACGATCGTTCGTGTCGCCTCAGAACCCGCACGGACAGCTTGTCGGAATATTTGCAGACTCTGGATGCTAGGGCCGTGGAAGTTCGTAAGTATTGTCGAATTCTGTTGTGGTTTCAATTGATTTTTTGGTTCTCTTCCTTCAACCTTTGGCGTGCGTTGTAGTGGGGGAGTGGTGTTAAACAAAAGGTTCATTCATTGAACAGGTTGTTGGCTGTCTAGTTTTCGGGGAAGATTTCGAACAGCCTTGCGGTTTTTGAGGTATTGTTTGGAGAAAGTACGAAAGACAAAATGCATGTACCCAACCCTGCTCAGTAATACTTTAGGGGCAGAGGTTAGCGTGAGTCAACTTGATTATATTGACAATGACTGTTGACATAACCAAGATGCTTCAGCATTTGTCTGGCATGTCTGGTGTGGCTTTTGATGTTGATACGGTGAATGATTAATCCAGTTTGTTTGGGTACAAATTGCATGAATCATGCGAATGATTACATGCAATATGTGGTATTGGAACACTTGAATTTCATGTTTAATAATGTTTTGCATTCAACAGTAATTAAGATTAATGTTCAAATAGGCCTATGAATAATTTCATAAAAGTAACTAGGCCTATGTACCGGTAGGCCTAGCCTAGTACTACTATCCGAGAATTACATTACAAAAATATACATTTGAATACCTCTTAGCTACCTTAAAACTAGACACACCTCAATTACATGTAATGTGTCACATTGATGGTCACAGTATGTATGCATCTTTTCTCCATTAACAATTTACACCATTGCTTCTTATTCATATTCTTTAAATATTTTTACTTTCCATTTGTAACTTAAATGTCACAATAACATGCCACATTGAACACATTGGCTGAGGTCATGAAAAAAATTCGACCAATTACATAAATTAATGTAGACTGATTCGGTATTTTGATTATCGTAAATAAAATTCAGTTCACACTACTCAGATACAAAATTTCAGCTTTTTCTAGAAATGGATTTTTAGATTGTTCTGTACAGATCGAAGGAGGAAAAAAAAAAGGCCAGAAAAGTTCTGCTTGTGTAAAAGAAAAGTCAGTTTGTCACTCCTACCAAAGATCCTTTTGATAAAGGTTTCACACTGCCACTTATTTACTCACTTGTCTTGCCCTGCTCTTTGCTCAGCTGTTCTTCGGTAAACTTTTGCTTCCTGTCTGGTGAATGTACATGTATGTACACGTATATGTACATTGATAAAAGCTCAGAAGTGTCTGACTATGGTAACTTCTGGTACAAATTTTTCGTCTGAAAAAAGCACATTTACCCGGTTTACTGAGTTGAAATTTAGCAGAAAGTGCAAACTAGGAGTGGTGTAAACAGGGAAATGGGTTAATTAATTAAAAAAAACCCAAAGCGTTACTCACTACCTTTCTATTTTTACATACACGCACTGTACCGGCAGTTGTACTTGGCTGTGATTTGGTTTTCCCTGAAATAGATAGCCAAGAAAAACTGGGAAATAGTGACCACAGATATAAATCATGTTGGGTGGCAATGATCTGGTACCCGGTAATTGTCGGTTAAATGAGGTAATGAAAACCTAGCTTTTTGATTTACCATAGCTTGACATGAAAGGCCTCCTAAAATATATATATTTTGGTTCTACATGTAGGCCTAGGCCTTCTTTCAAATGTTGGGTAACATGTTGGCATGTACTAGCCGAGGTTGGACGATGTCTACATTGCATTGCGACAAACGTCCAGGGTATAAATGTCCTCCCACAATGCAAATTTTTTTCAACAGTTTTTCTGACTTTTTACCTGGCGAAGACAGCTCAAATGATTGTTCACAAGTGCCATGTATACTGAATTTCATAAAGGCTGTGTTGAAATTATAAATTACGCCCGCAGACAATGTATTTTGCAGGAAATTGTGCGCCAAACTCCACGCTTTCCATCGCGATCGACTTACGTTCGTCTAGTAGTACGCATTTGTGCATGCGTGAAACGGCCTCCAAGCTCGGCCCCCATTCTGTCAGTTTTGTTGTCTAGAGCTAGGTCTAGGTCTTCACTCCATTGAAAATGTGTGGAGACACGCAAGCTACAGACCTAGCCGTAGCTTTGGAAATCCGTCTCGGACACGGCCTTATCTGCAACATCTTCACGCTCACAGCTCTTCTGTGCTTGGTCAAGGGGCAGTCAGTTACTATGCATTTCGGGCATGTGCAAGTACGCGTACCAGACGAAAGTAAAGTAACAAATCGTGACGGAAAGCGGAGTTTCGCAAAATTTCCTGCAAAATACCGCTGGCATATTTATTATAATTTCAACAGAGCATTTATCGAATTTGGGTTACAAGGCATCTGTGAGTGACATTTGAGCTCTCTTCGCCAGGTAAAAATGTGAGAAAAAACGTTTTGTATTGTACAATGTACGGGTAGGAGGACTTTATACCTTGAACGTCATTCGTAGTATAAATGAAGACAGCATCCAACCTGGGCTAGGCATGTACCGGTACATGTACATACTATGTACATGTACTGGTCATGTGTAAGTGCATGAATTTTCCCATACATACATGTAGCACATCTGGCATTGGAGTAAAAGGCCTTGGAGTCATAGTACCGGTATGTAGTTTTTAATTAAACTTATCTTTACCTGTACTTCTGGCATATGCCAGTACAGTTTGTACTGTTGAACTGCCGTTTGTATTTTTGTATTGTTATGCATTGCTTATTGCAATGCCAAATAAAAGAATAATGAAAATGCCGGGTAATATAATAAATATTATGATATTATACATACATGCATACTGTACATTTTACTTGAAATTTCAACCACAAATGTCAGCTGCTTCCAATGCACATCTCTAGCTCTGGCTTGGGACTTGACACCAACTTGCCAATTCAGCATGCATGTAAAACACATATGCATTAGAACAGTGCACGGACCTGTGCCTCGAGGCATTGAGCAAGTACAGTACTTAACGGACAGAAAGGATATTCTGGGACCTAGGCTGATGTAACCAGTGCAGGTGTATTTTAATGCTTGCCAGTCCTGATGGAGTCTGAAGCATGTTGGGGCAGGACCACCTTAATGCATGTGTACATGTATGTACATGTACATGTAGTTTCTAGCTTGAGCTTCTAAAGTTGACTTCCATTTCTATGCTAAAGTTAGCCTGAAAAATGAACTTATCTTACAGATTAGTATAGTTTTCTGGAACTACGGTATGTGTACATGTACCGGGTATGTGTTAAATACTGGCAATTGTATGTACATGTACTGGTACGTCTAGTTTTAGGTGACTTGTGTGTTCATAAACGATAGCCTATACGCATGTTCTTTTTCTATCAGAAAAGCTTTTAAGACCCTTCTTTCACATGTCCAACAGAACAGTTCCATCCTGAACATGGATCACTCGGAGATAACAGAGATGGCTTCTTTAAGTTGCTCTTCTGATATTCCCTCTCCACTAAGACCTCTTCAGTGCACTTAAAGAAAAATGCCTCGGCGATAATCCAGCTTTCTTTTTCTTGGACTTACATGTACATGTGCCCTGGAGATAAGTTTGACTGTCTAATGTGCACCTCTCTGGCCCGGCTTGCAGTATATATGTGCAGTGTACCGGTACATATGTGCCGGTACATAAAGCACGTACAATGTACAGTAAGATGCCACAGCTCTTTGCTTGCTGTAATCTCAGTCATCCTGGATGAAGAAGATCAGTAATCCAGGATTATCCGTGCTTATTGTATCATATACATGTGCAGAATGTGAGCAGTGGGACAGGTAAAGAAAAATAGGACAGGGAAAAATGAGAGAATGTGTAATCGGTAGTCTGCTTAGTTTTAAAGGTACCGATACAGTGCCGCTTACAAGTTCCGGTACTGGTAAGGTCCATCAATATATTGATATTATTCGATATATATTAAACTTTGATATCGATATGAATGATAACACTTCAACATTGAAATCAATATACATGTATTGAAAGCGCCGATAATGAAAAAAATGAAGTTATAAATTATGATAAAGTACACAGCTGTTGTTATACCGTAGATGTCCAGTCCTATGATAGAGAAGTGCCCATTTTTCGTGGTCAAGAATACATATAGCAGTCAGCAAATTTGCCTCTGATTTGTTTTTTTCTTCGTCATAAAAGCTTATAAAAAGTGGTAAAACGTACACAGCTGCAGTGTACAGTACGTAGTGTACAGTGATTTTTTTGCATCGTACATGCACCGATACAAACTTGCATATACTGAGCACGCTGTACAATTAGCAAGGCACCTTTCTGAATTTTGCCTGGTACTTGTGTGTGTACTTTTCACATACATGTACATGACACCAGCCCGAATCTTCGAGTGGTTAAGAAATACATGTAGCCGTTGCCCGACCTTGTATGAATGATGCATCAGATTCCTGCGCACTGTCTGCATTCATGCAATAGTTGGGGCTGATGTTCATGTCGTATTGTGGAGTAGCAATTTCATCATTGGTGATTGGTTGAAGTCCAGGAAAATTGATATTTATTGATAAATGAGGCACATCGTCAATGAAGCCGGCCACTCAGATCGCAGACTGGCCGGAGTTAGCGTGTCTTTGCATTTGAATGTATCGTTTTGACTGCAGGGTGTTGATGTTGTCAGGTGGTCTTTTGTTTGGGGAAGATTAAAAAAGCTCACAAATTCCAGCAGACTTAACTCATGCTGCGCGGTTAGGACTAGTTGGTAAGCTGCCTAATGGCAAAAGATGTTCAGCATTATGCCACTGGTTTTGAGCTTGAAAACATTCTTGGAAGAAATTTCGTATTATTGATATCGGACCGCTATTCATGTACGTACATGTACATCGGTATTGGCAATTATCTATAATCGACAGAGCTCAGTCCCACTTTTGAAGCTGTCTATAAAGTAACGGATCATTGAAAAGCGTAGTGTGTCCATGTACTTGCAGTTGTGGGAGCAAGCTTCCTGTGGAGTAATTCTTTCAAGCAAGCTGTCGTTTTGAAGAAAGCAGTGAAAGAAGGCCATTTCCAATGATGTGTGTACCGTATTTTTGGAAATTCTTGTTCGTACCAGTAGTTGGTTGTTGTTGCTTTTTTAATG